TTTTCGAGTGCTCCTCACACTTATGTATTAATATATTTTGCTTTGGCTTTATTGATACAATATCAGTAAGCACTCTGTTTCGCAGATATAATCGTGTGGGCTGATAAAAAAGATTATATCTTTTTTTCCCCCGGTTTTTTAAATAAAATTTCATCCTTTTTTTTTTTAAACTGTTGTTTGCTATTTTTTTACTTATTATCCCCCCCCCCTTTTTTTCATATGTCTATAATTTTTCTTTGTTTTATTCTTCATTTTGNATAGAATTTGGAATAAATATTTTCGGGTATTTTATGCAATAAATGCACATTATTATAATATAATAAAACTTTGATAATTTGTGGACTTTTCAGTTATTTATTTGAGAGGTTATAAATCTAAATATTATAAATAAAACTGTTTTTTGTTTCGTTTTAACGTTTTTCTAATAATGTTAACCATATTATTTGGAGTTAGACTAAAAAATACATTTGAAAAACAAAGGCTGAGCTTCAAAATCTTGCGTAAAAGAAAATTTAGGGATTTTAATTTCTGAAACGGATTTTGAAAGTTATGGTAATTATAATATTGTATTATGATATCTTATTTTCAAAATCAATCTCTCATTATAGCAACATTTTTATTGGTGTTGAATTCTATGGCAGCTTTAACTTCATATTGTTCTCTTTAAAAAAAATTGCATTGCTTTATAAAAACGAATAAAATGGCTATAACAAGGAAAAGCATTTTATAAAAAGATTAAATTTTGCACACACTATTATTTAATTTAGTTTAATCTAAATTTTTAATAATTATTATTAATCTAATCTAAATTATTAATTAAAATATAATTATTCTAAATTATTATTAATTTAACCTAAATTGTTATTTAAATTTAATCTAATTTAATTTAATCTAAATTTCTTGACATTTAAAATCTCCTGCGTGCATCGTAACTTTCAAATAATTAACTTAATGCTAATCAAATCAAAAAATATTTCTTTTTCTTTACTTCAATAAATTTCTTTAAGTTCGTAGCAAATTGTTCATTAAAATTAAGTTAACCGTGTTAAACCGTGAAATTCCCAAGTGAATATTCATAAAATATTTTTACATAAATTAATAAAAAATAACGAATGATCTAAACATTTCTAGAAGCGTAGAAACATGTTCAAAAATAAAAATTAATAACATATTTTTTTAAAAAAAGTTAAAATGATATTTATATAAAAGAAAATTAAAACCAATTTTCAACAACGCTGTAAGCAACTTAAATCCTGAACATAATATCTCCCTGGTGAACCGTAACTTCTAAGTAATTACTTTATCGCTAAACAGCACCGAAAAAACTAAAAAAAAACTAATCCACTTTTTCCCTTTCTTCATTAAACTTCTTCAGGTTCATTATCCAACATTGTTGCGACATTCAAGAAAGATAAACTCTACTGATATATAACCCCTTTCCATCATCTGTCTTGGTGACCATACACGCGACGGTCAGCAGCGTGGAACCATTTTTCCGGTTCAGATGACGCAATGGATCCCCCAGAGTCAACTTCTCCTAAAACCTTTATCTTTGCCACCTCACTAAAGCAAAGATAAGAATCGCGTTACTTAAATGAACGAACACTAAACAAAAGGTTGGTAATGACTAGCATTAAAAATGGTCATTTTCATTCTTTTCGTTTGTTCAGTTTTTTTTTTTACCTGAAATTGAGGATGAGCTTGTTTCCTTTGTCAAAATCCTGAGGAAGTTGTTCCGTTAAGAAAACGCGTTTCCTTTTATTCGGTTGAGAGGGTTTACGATATTTGTACAATTTTTCCATACCAGTGATTTTGTTATCGGCAGACGATCTAAAGCATATGTATTTATGAAACTTAGTTGAAGAATTTGTCGTTTGCATCTTGAATGGCTCAAATTGAAATGACAAAGGCAATTATTGTCAAATCAGAAAAGGAGAGATGGAAATGAATGTTGATGTGTCCATTAAAGTGAAAATTAATCTTTTAACCCTGAAGATTGAGGTGAATTGTTCTTAAATGTGAGTTTTATTTATAAAAATTATAGTTTTAATTTAAGAGCTAGGATTATTTTGAAAATACTTAAATCATTTTTTTTCAATGGTTGCTTGAAAAATATCACCCATTTCTTATTCTCTTATCTCTTATTATCTCTTATCATCTGAGGTTAATTGTTCTTAATGGTAGACGTTAACCATTATGTCTTGTTGCACAAAATGAGAACCCAAGCTTACTTTGTGGCTATGTAGATTAAAAATTTATTTTTATCTAAGTTATGAAGCTCTAGATAATACCGAAGATTTTGGCAATATTACTTTAATTTACGTAGCTTTGTCTTTTGAAATTAACCTAAAATCTAATAGAACTTACGAATTAGGTTTATTCACGTTGCACTTAATTCAAAAAGTAATGTAACATATCAATTGGGCATAATTACACTGTTCTATAAGTTTGAATCTAACTCTAAAAGCAATTGAACGTATGAATTAGATTTATTTACGTTGCTCTGAAATTTTGAATTCTAAATAGCAATAGAACAATTTTCAACAATAGAATTTATGACGTTATTCACGTTATTTATATTTTAAGTCGAATTCAAAATGCAATAAAATTTATAAATTAGAAATTGGATCTCAAAAAACAAATCTTATAACATTAACGAGTCAAATTCAAATCCAATTTTAGTAGTTAATTTTGTTTTCGGTTTCTATGTAACTACAAGATAGATACATATTGATGATGAATCATCCGGCATTCCACTGTTTTTTGGAGAAATCTGAGAGCGAAATGACGATATCGATAATGATTATTTCAATTATTGGTTCAATTCACTGATTAAAAATCTGAAAAAATAAATAAAGTGACTTAAATAAAATAAATTAAAAGACCAAGGATGATTTATTACAATAATACCAAATACCATCAGCAGTACAAAAAGGAGTTTATCTCTGATTCTGTTTACTGATTTGCACAGCAATTATTATGCTGTTTTCCTGTTACTGAAAACAATGTAGAGATTATTTCCTCACATCGAAATAGTACGTCATTCTAATCGCAAAAACAATTAAATTACACTTCAAAAAATATCTTATTATTCCCATGGGTAAGATTATTCAAAAACTCGAAAACTCTTGTTAAAAAACTAAGTGAAAAGTATTTATCCTGGTTTAAAACTCAAATTTGTGATACAAATTCACTATTCTCTCATATTAAGTTGCAAAATGTAAGGCAAGATCAATATAAATAATGAAACTTTTAATTGGAGACTGGAAGTTTAAAACTCAATAAACCAATGTAATTAATACTTTTATTTCATACATTGTTTAAAATTTTGCTTTAAATTACATATTATTTTTTTTCTCCTTACAAAACCTTTGAAGGTATCAGGTGATAGAACTAAAGCAATCTTAACAATATCATTGCCTCGAGCTTTTGTTTAAAACTAACTTTGTTAAAAGCAATTTAGTTCCTCAAATTCAAACGGTTCGTGCCTCGAGATAACAGCCGTTACCAGTTTCAAAACTTACGGAAAGCACAAATTGTGATTCTTAGTAAGCCGAAAAATCAAGTTCTTAAAAAAAGTCTCACGTTGACGCTGGAAAAAAAAATGAGGAAATAAATAAATACGAGAAAAGAGGGTGAAGGCTGATAAAATGTAAGAGACGGGAAAAGTTAGATTCGGCCATTGTCTAGGTCGTGCAGTCGTAAAACTCAGTAGGAAATAGCGCGGGTCGTACCCAAATACCTCTATTAGTTACGTCGCTTTCACTTGAAGAATAAAAACAATGCTTTCAATAGATTATGAAGCAATAAAAGCCTATAAGCAGTGTTAAGAACTGTTAACAACCACAAAAATATTCGCTTTTTTAAAAAAAGTCTTTTGATTTGAAAATATTTCAATTAAAGTTTGGCAGAAAAAATCCATTCTTTTCTTATAAGTTTTAATTTTCTATTCTAAGAAAAATTGAATAATGTGCAGCAATAGTATTAAAAAAAATTCAATGCGAGATTTAAAACAGCTTAAATTCAGCGTTTTTTCTCCCCATTTAAGTATTGCATTTATTGTCATTCTGGCAAATATTGGAGCAAATATTAGCAAACTTTTTGACGTTTTTCTCACCTTATTTTGACAGTGATTGGCAGTTAGAGTTGGTAACGCCTTTTAATTTGACATAGTTTTCTAATTATTTGATCCAACTTGCTACATTTGCTTAATTGTTTTTAATAATTTCAATTTTGCGCGTAATAGAGGCTCATTTAAAAGAAAAAATTCAGATTATACTTAATTTTTTTAATAAACAATATTAACATTTCACATTTTAAAGCACACTTAATTTTATAATTTTTAATCAGCTATTAATAAATAAATTTCTACTTAACTATTTGATTCAATAAAAAAATCTCGCCCGTTGAAAGGAATTCATAATTTTTTAACCGTCACTTTATGTAATGTTTCATAAACTAATACAAATTTTGACACAGTTAGAACTTAAATGTTTCAACATTTTAACAATCCTAGATAAGTATTCTCTCTAATGAATTGATGACACGCTAATATTTTTATTCTATAGCATTTGAAACAATCTAGAGCTTTTCTGAAATATTCAAAAGAGTGAATGTGATCAGAAAACTATTTCTTAAAAATACATAATCTTAAAGTAAAAGCGTTTGTGTAAAATTTTAACTTGCATTAAAAATAATGCAATTTCGTTTTGGCGTTCTTTTAAGTCAAGCAAGTGTATTTTTTTTTCGACGTTCTAAGTTGACATATCACTATGCCAACTTAATTTAAGTTGAAATATATAATTGGAGTATATAGTTGTTCCCAAACATCATATTAGAGCATTATTTATCGCATCATCAGTTTGATTTAAGAACTATTTCAACTTTTTATAAAATTCATTCATGTTGTAGAAATATGTAATTTTTTATCTATTAATATATTTACTAATTCTATTTGCCCATGTAAAATAGAACCTCACACATTTGTATTTCTTTTACAGGTTCGATACAGGTTTGGTTGCTACGATGAAGTACAAAAACTGGACTGCCGCAGAGTCCGGCATTGCAATTGGATTCGCTTCTTGCGTTGTTCACAAACTCTTAGCAATGACGTAAATCTTATAGGAACACTGGTAAAAGGTGAACCAGTATTTGAAACTGTAAGAACTGTACCGTCAAATACCGAGCTTATTGTGTACCTGGAGAGTGGCAGTGAAACAGACGATTCCTTACGATCTCAAATGTCTCTTATGGCTTGTCGCACTCTTACAGCTGCACATTACAGACACGCAATGGGTCTCATTCTTGAAGGTAAGTTGGTATAGTGAAAATTATTCTCTAATATTCAAGTACTTTTTATACTTAAAACTATTCTCCTTTTATTCTCGGTAAAGCATGCTCATGTACACTCATGTTTTGTTTATTTATACCGGATACGGCTATTAACGTCCAGGACTGATTTATTAACACTTGAAAATAAACAGGTGAATAATATACACATTACATTTGCTCCAAAGTAACCTCAACCTCACTTCTGTACTCAGCTGTAAGTTTCAGAAACAATTTTTGAAGCCCACTTACATGTTCTTCATCTCTGGCGTCAAAACTTCATTAAAATCTTCGGCGTACTTGAATTCCATTAAATTTTTTATACTACTGCAGAATAGTCGGTTTGGGGATTTAGCCTTTGCCTGCAACAATGGGTTTAGACGTGGTTCAACCGTTCTAACTGCTGTATATCAGATATCAGGGATTTTTTTTGTGTGTGTGTCTGGGTGGTTTGGAATGCAATCTAGTATAATGTTCCTAGTTTCAGAACTGGAGAAGACAACGCAAAGTTGGGTGGTTTCGATGCGTGGTGAGGAGATCGGGTGTTTATTACCGCCATCTGCCCTCCAATCTGAATTGTAGAAGCGCAGTGTACGCTTATGCTAATATTGTCGTTGGATTATCATGAAGGATAAATCCCTGCTCATTGCCTATAGCTGATTCCATTAATGTAGCTTTACTGAGAAGATTACAAAGAAAGCAATCACAGTTTTTCTTTCTTTCTTTGAACTTAAATCGACAATTCTTCTCTCTATTCGTTCGGTTGTTTTCTTTCTTACTATGAACTCACAGCAATAGCGCTTGAAAACATATTCCGTTTTACAATAGGTTCTAATTACAGTTACCTATTTTTTTTATAATTTCATATCAGTGGCAATTAACTTCAACTGAAAGGAAGATTTCCTTCAGGCCATCAAATTTAGAATCATTTAGGCATCAATTTAAGCTTAATTATCCTTACACCTCGATTCAATTTTATAAGCCATCAATTAAAGTTTTATTTACATAACCATAAATCGGAATGCAACAAGCAAAAAGGATACTCATAATCCATACAGACATCTCCAGGAAGTTCGACACCATTCTCTAACCATAGAACTATCTTCAAACTGGATCGAGTTCTGAAAAAAATGGCATAGTGGCGGTTACGGTACGCTGACGCCTTCAGTGGCAGACGTCAAAAATATCATTTAAAAGAGTTCCACAAATTGATGGGGATAAACTTGACGTGTCTCAATTTTCACATCAAGGGTCTAGGAAGCCTGTTATCGTTCTCTATGATTATTTCTTGGATGCTCTAGTTGGTGAATTGAAGTCTCCTTTTGAACGGAATGTTACACCCGTTTTGGAATACGGCAAAATTGTTTTTTCATTTTTTTATTTTGCCTTTTAATGAAGGATAGAAAAAGTAAAAAAAAGAGAAAAGAGAAGATTCTTGGTAATTCATTCAATACCTTCAGGTCGATCAACTGTTCGGGCCCACCTAACCCTGCGGGAAAGAAACCTTCAAATATGTTTTTTTTCCATATATATCCAACATCATATGTTTCTAAAATAAACAGTTTAGATTTACGAAGTGTGGCCTTCTTTTTCGAAAGGTTACTGATCGCCATGGATGAATTTGGCTTCCGAGGCAAACGTTTAAAATTTGTATGATGCTACTATACTAAAAAAAGTATAGTTGCTATTTTTCAATTCTATGCATTTTAAGTACATTTTGCTTATTACATTTACAGTGCATTTTAACTATTCATGTATTAAGTTCTAATAACGATCAGACTATTCTTTCCTAAAATTGTATTGTATTAATCGTTATATTCTGCGTTATTCCTAAATCTTTATCTACAGGGCAGAAAATGATATGCTCACCACCGCGCAATAACAGATTCTCTCCATAGCGTCCCTTCCCATATTCCACTTAAAGACAAATTTTTTTTGTTTAATTCTGATGTTTTGGGTTTGTTTCGCCAGAATGTTTTAAATTAGATTAGATGCTTTTACAGATATTCACTTTATGATGTCCTCAAATTATGAATCGAACTTTGCGATTCGCGATTGTAGTTCGTGAATATCATTAGTGTTGAAACGGTATCCAACTAGGTTTAATGTTAACTCGATATCCAAACTGTGCTTAGTGGTTTTCATGATTTACAAATCACAACTTCTATTCATTCAATTTTAAAATACAGCATTGCAATGTATTGTGACGTAGTCTATGAATCACGTGTCATAATCCTTCAAATCATAAATCTTTATTCATATTGTGATGAATTGCAAAATATATACCGAGCTTTGATATTACTGCATTACGATTTGAGCATCATATTTTGCGATTAGTGATATTCCAGTGAATTACAATTTGGAATTGCACTAGGATTCGCATTCGCGTTTGTTAAACGTTACTTTTCAAGATTTTTATTACTAAGATTCTTGCTCACAACAACGCTCAAAATGCAAAACACGCCTTTTTTTTCTTCTTTTTATTATTCTTTTTCTCACATCGCCATTTGTATTGCGTATGCTCATGAGTGCGAAACTTATTGATATCATTAAAATTTCACAAATGAACTTCAAATTCCGCAGTTATCTACAAAACATTTTTTTTTCGATTGCTAATGCCCGCTTTAGAACACTGCCAATTATTCTTTGAATAATAGTACGTGTAAAATTTAAGTACATCTTTAGATGTTGCAATTCAGCAACTCAGAATTATCAGCAGAAAAAAAAATACATCTTTATTCAATATTTTAATGCAGAACATATTTGTTAAGGATTCATCTAATTATCTGTTGACCAGCATGGGTTCTAAACGTCCTTAAGTGACGTTGAAGTCAGCACATCAAATTGCAGTAAATATTGTTCAATCATAAGTCTATATAGTAAAATAATCATGAGACAGATGCTTCAAAAAAAAATTTTCTCCTCTATTAGTACTGCATTTATTTATTTTTTTTTTTAACATTTCATTCATAAAAAGAGCTATGCGCAATACAGTTTTATTTCAGAAATTGAATGAGAATCGAGTGATTCTTCAACAAAGAATTGACCTCATGAGTACAATTTTTATTAAAAAAAACCGTTTGATAATTACATCAGCGTAAGCATTCAGAAATTTGCTGTCAAGAGGAATGCTCAACTGTCAATCGATAGTGAAAAGCAATCTTTAGTCTGGAGAAAGTCTGAAGACTAATTACGAAATCAGGGAGCAATAGAACATTTATTGGGAGAATTCTTTATGCTTTTATGAAGAATTTTCTTTTTTTTCCCTAATGTTTGAATAACTGAATACTATGTATGGCATTTAATAAAAAAAAACTCATTTGATTGGGAAAATCTTTATGCATTTTGGTTTTGGAGAACCATTTTTACATATGGGCGGTTTTGGCAACTATGGATCTTCTCCCTTTTGGTAGCAAAAAATAAACAACTCTTATCCTTATGCAAAATAATAGCAACTCCCACTATTTATTTATTTTTTAATTTTGAATTTTACTGTAGCAATATACATGGTGAAGATAAAGTTTTCCTTCTTTATTTTTTGATCTTGATGTTTGAATCGCTGAATACTATGAATAACTGAATACTTTGAATAACCGCATACTATATATGACATTCAATAAAAGCAACTCGATTGATTGTAAAATCTTCGTGCATTTTTTGGGAGCCATTCAAATTATTACGCATGCATGTTTTTGACAATTAAGGATCTCCTTCCCTGCTGGGTAACAGAAATAAGCAACTCTTATCCTTACATAAAAATGTAGCAATGCCAACCAGCCTTTTGCTTTCACTTTCAATTTTACTGTAGTAATCTAATTTAGTGATTAAATTACGATGAAAGATGTAACTTTTAAAAAACTTATGTTTTTATTTGTTTCATAAAATTTTGATTCGAATGCTCTACAGGAATCTTTCGTATATCCCTTCAGTAGTTATAACTCATTAAAGATTTCCTTTTTTCAATTTTCTAATTCTCGAATATTTACTTCAATTTTTGGCTTATACTTTTTCCCTATTTTCCAACTTTTTTGGCAATTAAATAAAAGGAAAATAAAAGATCTCAGTCTCATACGTAAGCACTGCTGACACCCTTCCACCCTTTTTGTTAGTCTAAGTAAGCAAATTCCAAAGTCTTTTTCTCCCTTTAGCATCTGCGTAATTTTGAATGACTGTCCAGAAATCAGCTTTGCGTTAGTTCATATTAAACAGTTGTACTTTTATCCAAGGCTTGAGAAAAGTTTCAAATTAAATTGAAATCGAGATCCCGAATGTGTGCAAAAGAAGTACCTTATTTCGCTTAAAAAAAGCGTTGTTCTGATTTCAATTTATTTATTTTTTTAGTTTATAATAATTTATTAACCACATAAGAAAAGTTCTGTTCTGAAAAAAAAATAGTTAGAAAAACTTTATGCGTTGCAAGCTAGAATAAGAAATGAGGTAGTGATTTCGGTTTTTCCTTTTGTTACTTCTTTATTTATTAAATATTTTTTTTGGTTAGACATTTTAAATAATTAGCTATGCAAAAATCTGAAAAGTTTATTAAAACATAAAAAACACGCTTTTTGTCTCAGAATCCTGAACATAAATCCAATCAGAATTCGTATAAGAATCCTGATCAGAATCCCAACCGAATTCATTTCAGAATCTTCTAAGAATCAAATGAATTGTTAGCCTGCATTGGCTACTTAATTATTATATTCGAACTTCGAATAAAATTTTTAACCTAAGTATTATTCGTATACCCTTATTGAAAAAACCCTTATTAACCCGTATAGAAAGTATGACATATTATTCGCCATTTAAAGTCAAATTCAAATTGTTTTAGAATGTTTTGAACATTATCTATTTAAATGTGAGATTTCTGAAAAAAAAATAGGCAATTTACACTTCCAAAAACTATTAAATTTAAACTTATATGAGATGTAAATTTTTTTTGGTAAAGAAAAACAATTCAAATGTTTTTTACGCATGCCAATATTTTA